CACTATACACGCCGATTTTTCAAAAACTGATTTTTTTTATTAATCTGGGGCAGTTTGGCGTTTCCTTTTCCAAACTGTTGCGCGTAAATGCAATGTGACAGAGAAGAACAGGCATAGTTTATACTGTAAGAGACGCAGAGGGAGCGCTAAACATTCCGCGCTCTGTTTATTGCACCGTTCAAGTGCACTGACAAGGACAGCTATAGGGGAGTGCCCTGCGATTGAGACGGCCGTCGCCAAACTGCCCCAACAGTGTTTAAGTTGCGAGTTACAGTTTTGCCCAAAAGCGAATCGCGTCGAATCGTCTTCGAAAATCAAGAGATAGACTTTCAAGGCCATTTCTTGAAACTAATGGGTTTTACGGGTTTTTAGGCCATCGTTGGGTAGAATTGCTTACACTGTTCAAGCAAACCACTTCTGAAGATGCAAGCCACTCGTGCTTGCGAAACGTCAACCAGCAATTCTACCCAATGATGGCCTAAAATCCCGAAAAATCCATTAGTTTCAAGGAATGGCCTCGAAAGTCTATCTCTTTTGATAAATCTAAATTGGTTGATCGGGTCTCGGGTTTTGTAATGCTTTAATCGGCTTTAACAAACGAGTTATCAACTTATCAAGTCAGAGAGCGGCAGCAACTCAAAAGCGCAATTCAACACAGTGTGATCCAGGCCTAAACCCAGCACTTCTGAAGAATTTTACGAATTTTATCACGGTTTTTAATCAACAAAAGACACTACTGGCAATGGCATAATTGAATGTGCTTTCGACTTCTGATAAAAGTTTTCTATATGGTCTCGACTTGAGTAGACAGTTGCAATACAGCAGCACCTTGAGATAATTTAAATAATAAATAAATTTATGACTCTCAGGAAATGTAATATTTGGGAAGATCAAGCGGCAAAACACGGATTTTCAGGACTAAATCGTGTTATTAAAACAAACTGTTGCCAAGAAGATAAACGCGATCTTATAATGGACGAAAGCTCTTTCCAATGCGCAATTAGAAAAACCTATTAAAACAGCCCTTTCGAAACCATTAAAACACCCTTCACTTTTAAGGCTTTCCGCAACGAATCGCAATGCTCGAAGTTGGGTTTTATAGACAGTAATAAGAGTGATGATAGCTTGCCAACGCATTAAAAAGTTTGCAATATGTGCAGGTGAAAATCCAAGTGAAAAAAAACGAGCAGATTTTCAATAAAACTGCATTCGATTATTCAAATGCTCGGCAATAGCAATTGACGCGGCTACGGATTTAATATTTATTATAAAGCTGCTATTGCAGCAAATTTTAATTTGCCGGTATTAAATATGGATTAAAATCGAAACAATGAATTATTACACTGATAACAGCCGATGGTTATATATTTAAGTGCTGTTTTATTTCAGTAAATGTATTAATATTTTTAATGGATATGGCGAAATACGCCCATCCGCGGGCGCATTTTGAACAGGCAAAAAACCATAAAAATCGTTTTGAGTATTACAAGATTATTAGATTATTACAAGATTATATACCTGTTCTAGTACGAATTTTTTAGTAGTTCTGGTTTAAACCGTTTTCAAGTGACTCAAAAAGCAAAGTTTTCCGAACAAATTAGATTTTTCCGGTTTCACAGTCGTAATTTCTGATATGAAATCTCAAATAACACTAGTTTTGAACATTTTCCCTGATTACAAGTTAAGGTTCGAGTATATTAGCCGATAAAAGATCGCAACTGCTTTCCATCAGGCCATTCCATTATAGAATCGGATATTCCAGCTCGGAGTTATTGAAAATCTCTCCGAATTGTGATTTTGTGAATGAAAAGCGCAAAAAAAACGTTTATGGGAGCATCGGTCATAAATGTTAAGATTGCAAAGAAGAAAATTAGGAACTTCTGTACATATCTTATTGGGATTTAGCTGTAGCAAAAAACCGGCAACATTTTTGTACAAATCAACTTCACTATGCGCCTTACAAAACACCTTACACACCTGCACTTGTTGTTGAGCTTCATTGGTTCCATTTGGGGTAAGAGGTCGTCTGGCTCCATTGCTGGCTCCTTGCTGAAGAGCTGCGAGACTAGCAGGAGGAGCCGGATAAACCCAAGGCGCTACTCCGTAATACTGGGCGGGCACTCCTGTGGTGATCAGGTATGGTTCCTGCACAGGAAAATGGGCGCTTTACCATCTGCCCCATGGACAACCACTCAAGTACTTACTTGTTGCGCATTTAGGACGTAAGGTCCTTGCTGTGTAAAAGCAGCGGCTGCAGCTTGCTGCTGCTGAGCCGCCGCCAGATACTGCTGTTGCTGCTGTTGTTGCAAGAGCTGCAGCTGAGCAGCTGCACCTGGAGTAGCTGCTTGCGATTGCTGCGATCTGAACAGCTGCTGTAAAGAAAACGAACGGTTCAGTTTCACTAAAATACAGATGCCATCTAATCATGGAAGAGCGCAACTAGCTGTTTATTCTGAAGCTGAGATAGAGCACGAAATCACATTGCGCCAATTGCGATGAGAGTTTCGCGCGAAAGCGCTTTCCATTTATGGGATATTCAGTTGTGTAAAGTTGCAGAATCAGCCGGGGGAGTAAAATATTTGTTCCAACCGACTGCTTTATACGAAGATGTTATCATAGCGAACGACCCAAATCGAATTTATTTTATCAGTTTGGAAAGGGCCCACTTTTCAGTCGGCTAACTTTATCTTCTTTGTATGCTTTGCCTAAATATTTCGTTCACATCGGGGCGCTTGGAACGAAAACTCATAGTTAAAACAGGCACCGAAAAAAGTGAGTTTAGGCATGCGGATCATAAGTGTTTGTCAAGAACCGGCTATTGCTAGTTGAAGTTTGTCAGGCCTTCAGCCCTTCAATCACACTAAGCTCTCTTAATAATTCAATTATCCATAACCGACAATGCAATTGTCCATTTGTAATTCATCAAGTGACTTGCAATGAAAAATAAGTTAAATAATTGCATTCTATCGACTTGGGCCGGATTCGGCATCTTCAATTAATTCCTGCAGTCCGCGTTAAGAAGAAAAAAACTAGTTTCGGTATTGACAATTTGCTTCCGTTTCGCCAAGAACGGAATTACATTGATTGATGGGCGGAAAACGAAATGCTTCTTTTACGTATTACATCTTCGCGACTTTATCCATTACAGCCCATCATTCAATAGTTTTTCAAACTTTCTAAAAAACTCTTGAAACTGTGGACTTAAAACGCAAATTCGGAACATCAGTAATTAATTGAATCTTCAAACAATCAAATTAATAGCGCCATTTACTCTTACGTTCTTATTAAAATCAGTATGTGGGCATTTCACATCGCATACTTTAGAAGGAAAGTATGTTAGTGTGATGTGGCTAAGTAGGTTGCATAGACGAGCTGTACGGTAAATAGATGTTTGCAGAAAAAACTACTCCACTAGTTGTATGCCACTATCGGTTTGCAAAACATGATTCTTCAACAGAAGCGCAGGCCTCGAAGTGGCATATTGTAGTTTTTTATTATATATAATCAAGCATCAGTATCTAAACGACTCCATCGAACACCTAATTGCACGCTCCAGTTACGGGAAGTTTATGGCTGGTTGAAGCTTTTAAGTTTAGTAGAAACTACGTTTAACGCTAATAATAAACTCGGGACTTTTATAACTCTCTAATGGGTGCATTTGTGCTATTGCACAAAAAAAAATAAATATAATATATATAAAATATCGATAAATATCGCAACAAACTATTCCCACCACATGGGGACGAACTTTATTTTTACGCGTAGTTGAATATAATATAACAGAATAACTGGAGTAATTGGAAACAAAGTAAAAAATAATAAATTAATAGCCACAAGAAAATTATCACAACTAATTGGCAGAATGAACACGTCAGAAGGAAATCTGGAAAATGATTTCCGCCGGCTTCAAAGCACAAAAAAGCGAGTTTTTTAGAAGAAAAAAACTAGTTTGTCCAAGGGTTTTTCCTGGTTCTGTCTCTTGTGTGTTTTTAAGAAGACTTTAACCTTTTCAAGTTATGTTACATGTTTTTGTCAGAGTTAATGTGACTTGAAAAATTCATCAGTTCTGAGATTTTTGCCCAAACTTTGGAACTGGATAAATTCTCATTGCTTCAAGCGAGTGGGCTTCTGTTTGAACCATTATTCAGCACCATTTGTGTTCTGTTCGTCCCTGTTGTGGTAAAATTACTCAGATAAGTGTTCTACAGGGTGGCAAATGAAGAAATGCAAAATTATGCGAAATTCGAGATGCTCCTGGTTGGACAAAAATGAACGTTTTCTGGATCTCAACACCACAAGTTTCAAGATCAAACAAACGGCTCAAAACGGCCATCTCTTCTTGAAACATCCGGTTTTCCCATTAACTGAAGAAACAAACGACCGCACTACTAACTTGTTCATTTCCAGACAACATTACCCAAAAAGCGCGCAAAGCGCAGCCTTTTCAAACGAAACAAGACCATTTCTTACACTGTTGATTAGGAAGGAACGATCACCCGCTGAAATTTCATTACTCTGCATAATTGTTGGCTGAAACAATGTCGGAAGGTGTCGTAACGCAGTGGGATAATCGGTCGTTTAAATGCATAATCAAGACTTCGGACTTAATTGTTTCCAATTACAATGTCGAATGGAAATTGGGTTTCAACAGTTGCGTCCATTAACATAATGAAAGTATTAGAAATTATATGAACGACGTTCAAACACTGCAAGAAATCTACAGCAATCATGCCAAAAAGCTTTCAAAGCACTAAAAAGTAACGAAAAGTGGTGTATTTCGCGAAGATTGTGAACTTAATTGCAATTTGATGCCGCCATAAATAGCAAAATTGTGATCCCAGGAGGCATTTCGAAAGCATGACGTCTTCCAGAGGGTTGGGAATTTAATCGAGCATGATTTATCGCGAAAACGTTTCCTTTCTTGCTAGGCATAATGAATTCCCATCGCATCTAAATTCGACCAGTAAAACATTGCCGGAAGCTACTTTTACCTGGACAAAGTGGTTTATTACCGTTTTAACTAAAAATTGCTCAGCTTAGTTCTGGCAACCCAAACAACTGCAGTTTAAAAGCGCGTGAGTGAATACCATTTCCATAAATAAATAAAACAAAATGACTTCTCCCGAGTGATTTCAAAGACATTTTGTCTTTTCCCTAATTGATCCGCAACTCCAATGACTGGCAATTAAGTGAGGCTCAGCCTCGCTAACGTGGAGGCACGTTCCCACGTTAGTTGGAACGATCCTTCATGGTGGCCGCCCGATCGTTTTCCCCGGCCGGGAACATAAATCTGAACGCTGTAGAGGCAAAAATAAAATATTCCGAAACGAGGTATCTTTGAAGTTGCGCTTCCTCGTCAGATAAGAATGGGCCCATTCATCCTCCGAACAATGAAGCCATCGCAGCTCTACAGTTTTGTCTAAGTACTACTCATTAAAACTGGGTTTTCCCCTCCGGGTGGGCCGCAGTTGAACTTTACTAATTTAGTTAAGGCGACTTGGGCGTCTCGTATTGACACACTTGCAGATTTTTTGGTAGTAAGCGACTGGACTAATGAAAACATGCATATCGAGCATTAATTGTCCATCACCAACGCCAGGGGCAAATTAACCGTAATCGTCCAACACACACCCAAAAATTTACGCCATTATGCGCTGGGTGGGGCAACTCTGCACGCCATCAATCTAAATACTTTTTCGATTAGGACTTGCCAGGGTAACACTGTGTTGAGATGCGCTGTTGAGTTGTAGCCGCTCTCTGAGTTAACCAGTTATAACTCATCGGTTAATGAGTGGTAACTCAGTTAAAAAATCACTGAATTGCCCAGGCCTAGCTCAATAGGAAGCATTTTCAAAGTCAATTCACTTATTGGCTTGATTAATCAGTAAACCGTGTTTTCTGTGCTGACACGTTTTTTTGAAAAAACCCAGAATAAAATAACTTCACCAGCTCTCCATCCAGCCTTCGTCGGGTCGATAAGCTGCCGATAGAGCCTGTTGTTCAGTGATAATAATTAACTCGCTTGAGGGCTGAAAATCGAGCATATTCCCCCCGCCTAAAAAATCTAATCGATATATTTTCCAACGCGTTTTGCTGGCCAAAGAAGCGTATCGATTGAGCGGCAAAAAACTGCATTATTTTGCCTCGTTACCGAGTTCTAATTATGAGTTGCGTTTCAAAATTAATCAACGGCCGCCGGCCCAGGTTTCCAAAACATTCGGCCATAGTAATTGGGTCATTCAAAGCATTTTTGCTGGCGATTTTGTCATTTTTGTTCAACTCCATCCAGCTGGCGCAGGCCTGGGTGAAACTGTGTTGAGCTGCGCTTTTGACTTTCCAAATTACTACTCATCGGTCAATGGAGCTTCGCAGGTTAAATAGCAATAAAAAGGTGTAATCCTCCTTGATAATCAATATGTGTAAATCAACCGAAGTGTGTCGGGGACAATGACTTTTCGCACTTTTGTCGCATTACTTCTAGAATTCGACCAGTTGACTCGATGAAGGAAGGCTCAGCGCCATGAATCGAGTCATCAGTTAACATGCATGTGTCACCAGTGAAAAATGCCTGTAAAATCGAGGTTTGGCTGGCTGAAAAGCTGGGAAATCCACAATATTCCGTTCGCAGTTTAGCTTATTCTAGGGCTTGTTAATGGGTTTCGATCCAGCGCCTGGATTTTTTAGCAACTCATTTTAATTAACGATCAATTACATTGCTTAATTGCCAACAAGAAAGTTTTATTTACTTTTATTGCTTGCATTAATCGCATTTTTCTCTGCCCGTGAACTGCGGCTGTTTTACGACTGGCAGAATGAATCCAGACACAATAATAATGGGAATAAGCTGTAGGATTAAAGCTATCATGCTTGCTCCATGTTAAAACTGGGATTTCCGACATGGACAACCGTTTTACGAGCGCAAACAATTATGAACAAACCCGCAAACGTCTAGGTAAACTTGCTCGCTTTCTGACAAGTGTGTATGTGCAAGCATAATGCGTTTTGCTGGCTCCATTTCCACGCTGTCACCGCATCAGACCCTCGTGCATTTCCATTATCATGGAGAAGAAGTGGCTGTGAGCACGAGTGAAATGGAAATGACAACGCGAATATCGAAGATAATAACTTTGATTATTGGGCGAACAGACAGGCACGTTTTCAGCTTTCGTTGGCCCAGGAAGAAACACTTGCAAACTATATAATTTAATCTAAAGATTGATCATATTTATCCAAATCGAAAGTTCCAGCTGTAAGCCGTTCCAAATGACCAGCTAACTAATGCGCAAACTAAATATTCCAATCGAGACATTAATTAAAATAAGTGCATAAATCTGAATTTTTTATCCTCATTTCGAGCAGTTATCTCGAGAAA